TACACTGTACTGTGAAGGTAGTGGTAATCGTCATCATCATCATCAGGTGCCTTGCTGACTGACATGAGCGATCATGCCTCTCCACAATCCGCGATCTCCTGCAGTATGTATCAGTTCATGTACTGACGCACTTTCATTCCATGCAACAAGACTCAAGAATCTTCTCTCATTGTCTTCCTCTATCCCTCCTTTCACAGATCTTTCCAGTGGTCACAACATGTTCCATTTTCTCTCTTCTCATAATATGGCTGAAAAATGATGACTGTCTCCTGATATCTGTGGTAAGTTGTCTTCGGGCTCCCGCCTCTTTCAAAACCTCTAGGTTGCTCTTTTTGGCTGTCCAAGATATTTTAATAATTCTTCTGTAAAACCACATCTCTGAGGCCTCAAGAAATTGTTTGGCCTGCCTACTGATTGTCCAGGACTCTCAGCCATATGTCAGAACTGGATTATGCTGCAAGCAAGAATTCTTTTTCTAACCTTCAATGACAGAGATATATTGCATAAGATGTTCTTCATTTTATAAAATGCAGTTTTTGTCTGTCCTTATGTGTTTCTTAACTCAGTAATGCATCTTCTATTTGATGTTATCCGTGTGGCCAGATACTTAAATTTTTGTACTTATTCCAAAATAACACCATTGACTTTTATTACACATTTAGGAATAATTGTTTCTTTGATACCACCATTACTTCTGTCTTTCCATTATTCAAACTGAGACCCATTCTTCCACTTTCTACTACCAGAATTTCTATCATTTCCAGTAGTTCTTTCTGACTTGTTGCTGTCAAGACTGTGTCATCATCATGAAGTAAATTTTTTATTTTATGTCCACCAACCACAATTCCAGGCATATCAATTAAAGATCTCATTATATATTCACTGTATAGTGAAAATAAATCAGGCGACAGAACACATCCTTGTCGTACGCCCTTCTTTAAGCACTGAAATGTACCTAAACAGTTGTAAATTCTTATAGCTGCTGTTTGCTGCCAATACATATTCTTCTCATCACAGCCTGTCTGAAAGAAACTCTTGCCAGTTCTCCGGCCTCCTGTTCTTTCTTACCCAAGATGCTCTTCTATCCACCTTCATGCTGGCCGGCCCCTGCTTCTCTTTATATCAGCCATTTCTGCAATGTGAAGGTGATAAAATCTAACAGGTGTAAGCAATATGCGTATTCTTCTTGGGATTCTCCTTAATAAATGCAGTTATAATGTGATCTTCCTTTATAAATATAAAAATGTTATTTTTCTTTATAAACATCATAATGTGATTTTTCTTTATAAACATTATAATTTGATTTTTCTTTATAAACACCATAATATGACTTTCCTTTATAAATATCATAAAATGTTTTTCCTTTACAAATGGAATCATAATCTGATTTTTGCTTTATAAATATCATAATGTGCTTTTCCTTCATACATGGAATCATGATTATTTTTGTTGCCTTATAAATATCATAATGTCTTCTTCTTCTTATTCGTGTTCACCAGCTGTGAACTCTGGCGAAACGTTCTGTTTGTTTGTCCACTTCTGGTCTGCAGTCCTGTTCCAGAACCTGAGTGTTGCATGTGCATCCGTTTTACAGATCTGACTCATTGTGTATGCAGACTGTTCTTCCTTGCCTCTTAGGCAGATGCACTCCATCTTTGAAGGAAGCTCCAAATTAGTAGACTTTTACGACATGCTTTTGGATAGGCTGTGGGTCTATTCTTGTTTTCCCTATAATAGGGCCCCGAAACCCACACAGGGTTATATTAATGTGATTTGCCTGTATGAAAATCATAATGTGATTTTCTTTTATAGATATTATAATGTGGTTTTTCTTCATAAAGATAACCACATTTGTAATGATAAGTGTAAAAATGATAAGTGTAATCAGTTGATTGGCAAAATCACTTTGTAATCAATGTGAATATATTTATCTTGTATAAAGTTCTCTCATGCAGATCACTGTTACAGATGAAGGATGGCAGAGTTCTTGAGGACATACTCTTTTGTGAATTACAGATTAGTCGAAGATCTTGGGGGTCAGCCTATAATGATACAAATAAATGTTGAAGTGGGACATAATGATGCAGTTGTTGAGATGGATTCTTGTGAAGGTGATGCCCTGAGCCGCACTGCATGAAGGGGAAATAAGGGAAATCGGGACAAAGGAGAAAATGATTGCAGACAAAGTTGAGAAGAAACACAACCTGTGATAGTTACAGTGGTGCCGAAATCCCATCCTGTAATTGTGGAAGACTTTTCTTAATGCAGGCAGGTCTTGCTAGTGATGCTCACAATTGTCATGGGCTGATCACATGCCTCCCTATGTAAGTAAAGATCCCATTTCACGCCTTTAGGTGTATCAGGCATATGGGAGGAGCACCCATATTGTTACAGACCGATCGGCACCAGGTGTCAGCATTACGCTGGATGCCCAATTGCAGCACAGTATAATACTATTACAGAAAAAGGCGAAGGTGTCAGCATCTCTCTTACAGATCACTTATTCTGTATTATATTTAATTAATTAGTTGCATATCCTTTACAGGATGCTGCAGAACCAACCTCAGCACTTTCTGGCTGTTGTGGTTTTTCTAAGCAAATTTACGTCCATTAGTTTGCCATTGCCTTCTGGACGGTCGGCAGTCGCAAGACAAACTGCCCACAGCAGGGATCGAACCCGGCACCAAGACATTACGAAGCGCGTTCGCAATGCCTAAGCCACAGATGCCGACTCTGTATTATATACAGACCTCTAATATACATCCATTCTTGAGACCTCTCATACAGATCCTTTCTTCAGACCTTTCATACAGATCCTCTCTTTGGACCTCTCGTACAGGTCTATCATGTAGACTTCATTTATATATCCCTTCTATAGACCTTTCATACAGATCCTCTCTTTGGACCTATCGTACAGGTCTATCATGTAGACTTCATTTATATATCCCTTCTATAAACCTTTCATACAGATCCTCTCTTTGGACCTATCGTACAGGTCTATCATGTAGACTTCATTTATATATTCCTTCTTTAGACCTTTCATACAGATCTGCTCTTCGGAACTCTCATATAGATCTATCATAGGTACTTCATATACAGTTCCTTTGTTCAGACCTTTCATACAGATCCCTTCTTGAGACCTGTCATGAAGATCCTGTCTCCAGACCCCACATCTAAATCTCCCCTTTAGATTTCACTTACAAACCTTATATTTCTATCCTTTCTTCAGACCTCATAAAAGAATCTCCATGGCAAAGTGGTGAAGCCGTTTGCCTCGCACTCTGAAGGTCGTGGTTTCATTTCACTGCTGTGCCGTTAGTTCATGAGTGCAATATTTACAGAGATCCCTGGGGATCGTTGCAGAAGTTGTCGAGTTCGTATTTTGTGTGGCTCTCTTAGCAGGCAGCTAGCCGTTATGCAGAAAGAGAGACTGAGCCAATATAGGATAAAACCCTGTGAGATAAAGTCGATCCTCTTGACTTTTTATTCTAACATAAAAATCTGTCATAAAAGGCTTCATATACAGATCTTTTCTTCACACCTCTCATTGAGATCTTCCTTCTGATCCGATCTCTGAAGAGGTGCATCACTCATATGTGGCTGTAAAACACCAGGACTAGGACACAAGATCCATCAACATCTTTCCATGGTCATCCTTGAAACAGGTTCCCTGCCAGTCACCTGGAAATTGCAGGTAGCACTGACATTTCCCTTTAAGTCGGAGCATAACTGGCTGAGAGGCAGCAGTCTGTGCATAAATAAGTCAGATCTGTAAAACAGATCCAATCCAACATTAAGTTCTAGAACAGTGGCTCTCAACCATCTAAATGCCGTGACCTTTTAATACAGTTCTCTCATGTTGTGGCCACCCACAATTATTTTCCTTCATAACTTCAATGGATATGTTTTTTCCGATGGTCTGAAGCGACCCCTGTGACAAGGTCATTCAACCCAAATAACGGTTGCAACTGTTCTACAACAAGACAAAGTCCAGACATGAACAAACAACCGGGACTGTCTGCAGGAGTTTGCAGTTACCAATGGAGAAGAGGAAGGACAGGTCATCTATACACTTTTCATGCAGTTACCAATGGAGAAGAGGAAGGAGAGGTCAGCTATATACTTTTCATGCAGTTACGAATGGAGAAGAGGAAGGAGAGGCCAGCTATACACTTCTCATGCAGTTACGAATGGAGAAGAGGAAGGACAGGTAATCTATACACTTCTCATGCAGTTACGAATGGAGAAGAGGAAGGACAGGTCATCTATACACTTCTCATGCAGTTACGAATGGAGAAGAGGAAGGACAGGTCATCTATACACTTCTCATGCAGTTACCAATGGAGAAGAGGAAGGAGAAGTCATCTATACACTTCTCAAGCAGTTACGAATGGAGAAGAGGAAGGGGAAGTCATCTATACACTTCTCATGCAGTTACAGTTAAGGAATAGGTCAACTATACACTTCTCATGCAGTTACGAGGAAGAGGAAGGACAGGTCATCTATACACTTCTCATGCAGTTACGAATGGAGAAGAGGAAGGACAGGTCATCTATACACTTCTCATGCAGTTACGAATGGAGAAGAGGAAGGAGAAGTCATCTATACACTTCTCATGCAGTTACGAATGGAGAAGAGGAAGGACAGGTCATCTATACACTTCTCATGCAGTTACCAATGGAGAAGAGGAAGGAGAGGTCATTTATACACTTCTCATGCAGTTACACATATAATTACACAATAAATCATGTCTTTCAAGACTGTCCCAAATACAAAATATCAAGGCCAAACTTTTGGCGAAAAGAAACATCGGTGCAAGCTAAAATCTATAGGTCGCTGAGTGAATTACAAAAGACAGTGAAGTTTTTTTCTAGAGACAACATTGTAGATATAGATAATTCATTTCAAGTGAACGAAAGAAGAAGAAGACATATTAATAAATAGTTTGATTAGATGCATACTTACAGACATAAATACTTTTCTTTGCTTTCATTTCCCAGAGTTCTTGGAGCCAGAAAGTCTCCACCTGCTTCGACGCTCACATGGGACCGACTGCTCTGGCCAACGAGCAGGAATACACCTCAAAGCCGGTTCAACTTGTTATGACCAGCCAGCACCAAGAAGGACACCCTCAGACTCTGGGACCAGACCTCAGCCAAAAAGTGCAGGTTTCACAACTTCTGGACACCAAAAGTCGTGGAAGTTATAGAGCTAAAAATAGTATTGAAATGGTTGCCTTGGCGAATTCTCTTCTTCAGAGAAGAGATGAGATAAATTCACGGATATCCGGTAAAACAGCAAAACAAAACATGCCACAAAAAGAACATTCCTTACTGACTGTAGTAGGTCATGACTGCAGAAAGACCAGAGAGTTTGTCTGTGACCACCTAGCTATTGCCAGGAAACATAACAACAAACTGTTGCTTTCCCATAACCAAAGAATCCAGAACATAATCGAGCAGTCAAAACTAAAACAAAAGTTTGACCAGATACTGAACATGCCTAAAGGGCCAAGTAAGACTATTCTTGAAATAAAAAGTATTCAAATCACAGATCCTTTTGTCAAAGCTGTACCTGGCAATGGACCTCTTTTAAACTTAAACAATAGCTGCAAAGCTGAACAGAGTGTCTTCAGCCCCATCTGCTTCTGTGTGGTTAACTGTAAAAACAATAATAATGAGAACAGTTACAGCAGAAAAGCTGTACCTGGCAATGGACAGATACTTGTAAACTCTACAGAAGCCACTGTTCACGATGGAGAGGAGGAATCTTGCAGCAACAGTTCAAACAGTGATTCAACCCAGAGAGATATGCATGAGGGTTCTCATATAATAAGTCTTACCACGAGCACAGCTGGATTAGAATATTCAAATCCGCAGACTACACACGCAGACTTCTCATTTGCAGAAAACATTGATGTGAAAACTCAAGTTGGTCAGGGTTTCTGTGCAGCTTGTGGCCATATTCTTGATGTTTGTCCCCCAAAGAGCAAGCTGAAACAGGCTTGCTTACACAAATCTTACTTCCATCGGCTCACAAAGGAAGTTCAAAAGATGGAAGTAAGACTGCCTGAACTTAGATACTTAGAGGTTCCATTAGTGTGTAGATCACACTCCTTAGACCTATAGGGCAATGAAATAATGCATTTAGAAATGTTGGGTTGCAGAGGATGAAATAGGTTCGGACTTGTCTGGCAGCATTTTGAACTGTTAGACAGAGAATGTAATATGTTAGGACTTTGGACCTGTTTGGCAGCTGAAGTAATACATTTTTACCTGTTTGGCAGCTGAAGTAATACATTTTTACCTGTTGGGCAGCTGAAGTAATACATTTTTACCTGTTGGGCAGCTGAAGTAATACATATTGACCTGTTGGGCAGCTGCTGATGTAAATTTTTCAGTGTTTGGCAGCTGAAGTAATGTTTGGATCTGTTGAGCAGCTGAATGCATCCTTTAGCCTATTGAGTAGCTAGAGTTTATCTCATTGGATCTTAGCAGCTTAAGTCATTTTTTTAGGACTTTAGAGCAGCTGGTTAAGTCTTTTTAAAGACTCTTAGAGCAGTTAGTAAGGTCAAGTAAGTGGACCTTTAGGGCAGTGAGGGTCAGAAATTGTGGATCTCTAAGGTCCTATTCTCATGGGGGCTTGGAAAAGATGGTGGAGGGTGTAGTTTGTGGAAAGCGAGGCAGGGGTCGGCCTCTGCGAAGTTGGATACACGACATTGAAGATGCATTGGCATTGAAAGCACATTAGGCTGGAGATTTGGCTAGGGAGATGGATACTTTCAGGCATGCCATAAGGGGAGCGACATTCCGTAAAGCACATGCTGATTGATGATGATGAAGGTCAGATTCTCTGAAACTTTAGGGTAGTTGGAAGTCACATACATTAAACCTTTGCCTCTGCTTCTTCCACTGTTTTTTTTTAGAATATAGAGAGAACAAGATTTTGCTATCCTGTCTTTTAGTACAGATCAATTAATACAATTATGAAGTCTTTCAGTACAGTTCTGGGGGAGGGGGGGGGGGGGCTGCGTGGTCTCGAGGGCAACGTGTCCGCCTTGAGTGCTAGAGGTTCTAGGTTTAATCCCCAGTAAGGGCTGGGATTTTTTCATGTGGACTTGGACTTCTAGTAATTCCCCCTGGTCTCTGGGTAGTGAGATCGGACGCCCATGTGCATTGTTGCGCACGTAAAAAATCCCTTGTCAGTTGGAAATCGAAAAGAGTAGCTTATCGGCGCTGCCTGGGCAAAATTTGGAATTACAAATCTACCCAAAGTATTTCAGGATCCTTGTCGGTGCTACAGAGCCTGTGCATTATGCTGAGCTCCTTCGGACTCAAAACTTGAGTTAGAAGAAGAAGTTGATTGGGTCTTCAGGATTTTGTCCTGGATAGGAAGTGTTCCATTGGGTTCTAATGGCTGCCTTGATCTTCCTCTTTGATTCAGTTTCAGACCATCAGGTGGGTTGCCTCTATGAACTTGCTTGTCAGCTGTAGGTCCTTCATAGTTCCCCACAGCTTGCTCTGCACACTTTGCTCTTGATCTGCTTTCTGTTATCCTCATAAGGACATTCTGCAGCTGGCTGTTCTATACTGAGTTGTTGAGATTCACAGCACTTGGGACATTCCCATGCGTGCGGCGTCATCTTCAGCAGCCAGCGCAGAGTTTCAGTACTGATGGTACTGGTCACAGTCTGGTTATATGTCCGTCTTGCCTTTCCTCTGAGTGTAGTGAGCCGGCCAGACCCTCTGGTCACACCCAGGTGCCTCATTCTCTCCAGGCCATAATAATCTTCTTTCTCTACTGATCCCATTGCTTGTTCTAAAAGGGCCTTGACCACATCTGCCTTCTTCTTCTTCTTCACTTCCTCTTTTACCGCTGTGGGTGTCGAGGAAGATATAAGGTTCTGTTTCTAGCTCTTCTGGCTGCCTCGACCATAGGCACATCGTGCTGTTGTTAGAGTTTCTCTGATGTTTATACTTCCATCTTGTTCTTGGTCTACCCGTGCTCTACGTCCTTCTTCTCTTTCCATGTATGTATGCTTTGTATGGTATGGTGGCACAATGCATTCTCTCTAAGTGGGCAAACCATTTCACTTGCTGTCTTTGTATGTAATCAAGAATTGGTTCTGTGCCAACTTGTTCTCTTATGATCTCATTCCTGATCTTATCTTTTATGGTCACTCCTACAGCCCTTCTCAGACATCTCATTTCCGTGGTTACTAATTTTCTTTTATGGTTTGTTGTGAGTGACCATGTCTGGCACTGGTAGCACAGAGTTGGAATAAATATGCTTTGAATAAGATGTCTCTTTGTGCTGATTGGGATTGTCTTATGCTGTAAGAGGGGGGCTAGCTCTGCCTTGTCATGTATTAATTCACCACCTAGTGGTGCAGATTCAGCTAATCTGTCTGCTTGTTCATTTCCCACCACGCCAACATTGCCTGGAAACAAAATCCAAAGTATGTTCTGTACTGCTTCAGTCTACTACACTCTCAAGCAAAATATGACGTATGCTGGGTTCTTCCTAGTGAATAACTGTCACCACGTAATATGTTTCGTTGAGGAGTTACCAGGGGATCTGGCCGAAGCTCAACACTCAGGGGAAGGATGAGTCGGATAAACATCAGACGGTTACTGGTACCATCGGAATTGGAACTCTTTGCTTGCTGCTGAAGATGGAGACTGAGCACTTATAGGAGTGTCCCAAGTGCCATAATGGCGATTTTTAATTCAACATTCAATATGTTTCCTCTCATGTTACATCGGTCATATTTACTAAAAGAATCTGGCCTCTTTGATGACCAAGTGTGGATATTGCCTCTTTGAAAGTCACACGTTTCTTTTTTACTTTAGTCAGATCTATAATATTTGGACATAACTGCCTGTTTACTGAAAAAGATGTGATATTTGTGTCTTCTAGCCAACAAATCCAAGTACTTCCTGCATTTATTAACTGAGCTGGCTGTCCCCTATTCTTGGATGAGCTTTTCTTAGTACTTATTTCATCATTTAGACATTCTGTGACACTTATAATTTTGAAAGAGTGTATTAAAAAATATATAACTTGAAAACAAAGCTATGAAACTTCTGTGTTATTGCTTACAATTGCGACTGGCGCACTGTTTTGTGCTTTACAGCCAGGCTGCGATATCTTTGCCTTTAGGTAAAAAAAGATCAGACTTTAGCAAACGCTGAATTCTGCTTTTTCTTGTCGTCTCACTGATACCAGGTTGTAGCCCAGTGTCATGGTTTTGTCATCTCACTGATACTAGGTTGTAGCCCAGTGTCGTGATTTTGTCGTCTCACGGATACCAGGTTGTAGCCCAGTGTCGTGGTTTTGCCGTCTCACTGGTACCAAGTTGTAGCCTAGTGTTGTGGTTTTTTCATCTCACTGATACCAGGCTGTAGCCCAGTGTTGTGGTTTTGTCGTCTCACTGGTACCAGGTTGTAGCCCAGTGTCGTGGTTTTGTTGTCTCAATGATATCAGGTTGTAGCTCAATGTTGTGGTTTTGTGGTCTCACTGGTAATAGGTTGTAGCCCAGTGTCATTGTTGTTTGTATTTGTCTTGTGCATCTTGGGTGGTGTGGGTAATAAATGTGTACATTTTGTGTGTGTGTGGCAGAACCCACATTTGAGAAGTGCAAAACATATATCAGTTTAGAAAAAAAAAAAAACTACAACAAACAACCCAATTCTCAAAATATCACATGGAATCTTTTTTTTTCTTTATTTCAATACATTTTCAAAGTAGACGTTCCCATAACCCATTCAAAAAAGGTAGATCTAAAGTGATGATAAATACCACAGAAAGTTGCCCCTACAGAGCAGAGATCACCCAGAGCTGACTCCAGGCCTAGCAGTGGAAATTACAGGGGTCACACATCTGTCCACAACATGACATGGTTTTTTTTACAACTGTACACGAGATGCATCAAGATGCATTTTGGGCCAAGCAGTAGAATAACTTGAAACATATTTAAAGAACAATAAATAACTCGGCCAGTTATATCACATTACAAAAAGTTAAAAAAATTGGTACTGAGCGGTCTGGAGGCATGGTGTCTGCCTCGAGTGCTGGAGGTCCCGGGTTCAAGCCCCGGTGAAGGCTGGGATTTTTTCACGTAGACTTCTAGTAATTTTCCTTGGTCTCTGGGTAGTGAGATCAGACGCCTGTGTGTATTCTTGCGCATCTAACAAAAATTAATTGGCATTGGAAATTGAAAAGAGTATCCTAACGGCGCTGACCGGGAAAAATTTAGAGTTAAAAATCTACCCATTTTATATGTCTGTATTTATATATAAAAATACAAAAATTCTACAGATAAATAAATTTTTAACTAATTCATTATGACCTGTGTAAAATGTTTGTATTTAAAAGCTTTCTTCCAAAGAATTCCAATGGGAACATGACACCCCCCCCCCCCTTTTTTTTAAGCAAAAGCAAGGTGAAAGAGATATGGGTGAATGCAGAAGAAGTAGTATTCAATGGCTGATAAAGATAGTTGACTTCAAAAATCATCATAAATTTTTTCTGGCATGACTTTTTGTAACCAAGCAGGCCAGATTTTTCAGTATATGTAAATGTAACAATTACACAGCTTTCATAAAACAACACACCATGTATAAACATCTGCAATTTACCTACATCATCATCATGTGGTGTAGATCTGTACCAAAATCAGTTCTGATTACAATTTGGCAATGGATATTTTTAGTATCTAAGGAATATGTTTTTCAAACACTATAAAAAATACTCACACACTCTGTAATTTGGAAATTTTATTTCTTCTCTTTATTGACCAAACATGCTTAATATTTTGGCTTTTGTATCACATTCAAAAACAGGAAATCAGCCTTCATATTTATTTTTAAAATATATGTTAAAAAAAATCTGATTTAATTTCAGTGCAGACCATTTAAGGTGTATCTCGGATGTGACACATTTATGTTGAGAAGAATAATTTGTTTATCTCTAGCAGTTTTTATTGCCTGAATTATTATATCTGGGAAAATAGGAATTTCTAAGAAGAAGAACCATTTCTTGGGTACCTGCTAAGTTCTCCTTATCAGGTCTGCACTGTATTTAGTAGCTTGTGTAAACAAATTTTTTTTTTTTGGCATTTGCTATA